TAAGACTATAAGCTTCTGAATGGCTAAGGCTATGATTTATTCACTGCCTATTAAGGTATTCTCTGTGTATTTTTTATTTAAAATTGTTTTTTAATGTGTTATTTTTGATAGAGAGTGAGAGAGCAAGAGACAGACAGAGAGCAAGAGGGGGAGGGACAGAGAGAGAGGGAGACACAGAATCTGTGTGAACTGTCAGCATAGAGCCTGCCATGGGGCTCAAACCCACATTCTGACATCATGACCTGAGCTGAAGTCAGACACTCAACTGAATGATCCACCCAGGCACCCCTTCTCTGAGTATTTATTGAGCTCAAAACATTAATTGCAGGCACTTAGACAGAAAGGAGACCAGCAAGTTGAAAACGTATTCATTTCACCTGAGAAGTTAAACAGCCTTGAGGATTCTGAATAATAACAGAGAGCACATGCAAATCACATTGCTCTTTTGTGTATGAGGCAGTCACATGTACATTAATTGACTTCGAGGTAGAGACACACTGAGAGTTATCGTTGCGTCACATGAAGATTTATGTCCCTAGGACCTCAATGATTACTAGCTTCTGCCTTTCTTCCCACCCCCACATACTATATTCTTAACATAATAACTAAAATGATCCTTTTAAAACCGACTTTTGATCACGTCATAGCTCCGCTGAAAAGGACCCAGTGGCTATCTATTTAATTTAGAGCAAACACTATAGCCCTTAATAAGGGCCTAAAAGCTCTGCATGAGCGGACCCTTTACCTCACTTTTGAACTCACAGTATAAAATTCTCCCTATTCCTCATTCCCCTCTGGCCACACTGCCCTTCAGTCTAGTGTTCCTTGAATATATCAGGTACACCCCATCTCAAGGGCCTTTACACCTACTGTTCCCACTGTCTAGAAAGTTCTTCTCCAACTCTGCCATATGGCCTACTACTTAAGTTCTTTCAAGTCTTTTTTCAAATGTCACTTAGTGACCTTCTTAGTAAGACTTTCTATGAACACCCTTTTAAAACTGCAACCTCTCCTGACAGGTAACCTCTCTTGTATTTTTCTTCTTATCATCATCTGATACATTAAATATGATTCTTTTTTCATTGTATTTCTATTATTTTCATCATCTTCATCCTCCTCCTCTGTTCTTCAGAATACAGTTTCTATGGAAACAGGGTATATTGGGTGCTCTGTAGATAACATTACAAAATAATTACTGAAGCATTATTTGAGTCAAACACCTAAGAAAATGAGGCAGAATGCTCTGGGTTTTCTATCTACATAGGCCCAAATGATTGAAAACTCATATTTTGATGAGTTTGATGGTAGTTTCTTCTACCAGCAGGTGTAGAGTAGAAACCTTGAAGGGCAGTTGAGAACGGAAATACACTGATGCATATATTGTATAATAAGGATTCTTGGTATCAGTGCTTATAGTGAGAACTGTTCAAATTACTGGCAGTTTCTCATCATCTAAACATGAAGACTACTGTTTTTGCCCCACCCCCCACCCCCCACAAAGCTACATCAGCATGTTCCACTGAACTCAGAAAATAATATATATATGTGTGTGTGTGGGGGGGTGTATCAGGGTCATTTTTCAGATATCAAATTCTAGAATCTCTGTTCTATAAGGTTTTCCATTGCTCAATGTCCCAGAGTATCTGAAACTGTATATACAGTTCCAATTTCAGAAGGTTGTGGGGTTTAGTAGAAAGAATATAGGCACTTGGATTTGAGATGATTTACTAGCAGTCAGTAACCAGGGAAAGTTATTAAACATTCAGTGTCTCAATTATGTCATATGTAAATCATGTTCAAATACAAGGGTATACTTTAGAAAATGCACATAGCAAGTTCCTTGGTACTTAGACAATGAATAAATGTGAATCATCTCAGCTGCGGAGTCAGGAATATCTAAGTTCAAACCTTGGGTCTGTCACAGAGTTTGTTTATGGCCCATACCTCTCTCACATTCCACATTTTTAAGATCGGGTCAATTCCTTCTAATGTGCATTTGTGAGATCTAAGAACAAATAGATAAGGCACCTACTTCTACTTCAGTTTCTGTGTTCAGCAGATGCACACAGAACAGACTTACCTATAAGGTCTCTTCTAATGAGACTTTTCCCTCAGGATATTACAGTAACTGATGCACAGCATACCTAGGTCATCGAGTCTGGGAAAATACTTCCTTATGAAGTACCTACACAGCAGGCTTTCAATACACATGTATGGAATTCATAACATGTACAGTGACTGTGTTTCTTGGGTGGTATTTAAGAAAGCAGGAGACCATTAAATGCATCTGTGAGAGAACAGCAGTAAACCAGTTTGGAAACTAGATAGGTGAATTTCTAGATGCTTTCTAGAAATTCAGCTATGTAGCATTTCAAAAACTTGATTGGGCAAAAATTTTTATCTACCTGAATATGCAGTTTCCAGATAACTTGACAGGGCTGAGTATGGATTTGTAGGCAGAAGTTCCAGACTCAAAAATTTGGTTCTATAAAAGGAACTATATGCGCACGCGCGTGTGCGTGCACACACACACACACACACACACACATTTTATAATCAAATTCTTTTACAAAGGCTATGGTCTGACTGCAAATTAATGACTTCTGGCCTGTAGTGTCTGTGATGGACCTCCATGGCTACTGTCAGGTGTACCCTAAAAGCACTTCCATGTGAGGAAAGAAATGGAGTGGATGAACTTAAATATCTTATACAAATATACAATGGTCAAGATTTGATAATATAACTATCAAAAGTAACTGCAATCAATACATAAATGGTCATGAAAAAATTCTAAAATCTTCAAAAAAGATTCTAAAAGGGCTTCTAAAAAACCCTAAAAGGACAAAATTATTCTGCTTTGTGTATTAAGCATACACATCCATCTTTCTATGAAGCTACCAATTTTGTGTTTTCTTCTGGATTGTGTATAAATCAATATATATTGCTATGCTTAGAGAAACTAAGTATTATATTATCATGACATCTAATGGAGAGTAAATTCAAAATTTCAAATATTAGTAAATATATCAGTAATGGAAATTTGAAAAACAGGGGCTAAAATTTGGGGAAAGGAGAAGCAGATTATATTAATAATATAAGAAAGAAGCTTATAATTGAACAATGATGAATGCAGCATGTCAAAATGATTTGGAAAGGATTTCCAAATGAGGCAGATTATGGTGAGTTCCAAATTAGAAACAGAATGTACTGAGGGAAGAAAACCACTGATGAAAGAATTACTTCTCTGTCTTCTGAAGCCATTCAACTAGAGGAGCTATAGAATATTTCCAGGTCCTCTCCTGCCAAGTGAGTTATGATGGAGTTTAAAACTCAATTTTATATCAGATTTGTGGGATGGAAAATACTTTACTACCAAACCAATAATGTATTTTAGCGCAATAGGCTCTAACATTTTTGGACACATGTTTATTCTTATGACGTCATGAAAATTTAGGAGAGTTTTCCTGTCCCTGGTTGCCTTTGTTGAGTGCCTTCCTCTCTAATAACTATCCCAGGAACCTGGGATTTATACATTTAATCATCTTCCAGGATGTATTATATGATTTTGGACCAAAAACATGTCGTATTTTTAGTTTCACAACAGGCTAGAAAAACAGGCATTAAAAAGTCAATGTGCTCTACATTTGGAATCTATAGTTGATGATTTCATTTATTTACTTTCTATCTGCTATGCACCTACTAACTTTTCCCTGGGTCTGAAGACAGGCATCTATCATTTCTTTCCCTTATTCAACTTGAAACCTTTTCACTGTGGAACATTTTGCTACAATTCACCGATATCTATTTCCTTTTAATTAACCAAATTCCATTCTATTTTCATAACTCAACTTTTGTGAAAATTGAGTTCAAAGCCCACATTAGCATCAACAATGCTTTATCTGCCTTCACTAATTGCTTCATGCCCTTGACTGTGCCAATATACAACCTAATCCCTAGACTTGCATATAAAGATTACCCAGTAACTGCCTCTACACTATTCCTTGTGTGTAATTTAAATGCTAGGGTGCCTGGGTGGCTCAGTTGGTTGGGCATCCAACTCTTGATTTTGGCTCAAGTGATGATCTCATGGTTCATGAGTTCAAGGCCCATATCAGGCTCTGTGCTGACAGTGCAGGGCCTGCTTGGGATTCTCTCTCTCTCTCTCTCTCTCTCTCTGCTCCTCCCCCACTCATGAGCATGAATGTTCTCTCTCTTTCTCTCTCTCTCAAAATCAATTTCAAAAAAATCCAGATTTTAAACGCTTCCTCTTCTTCCATCTACAAAAGCAGCCTAACTGATTCCTCTCTCATTTAGATCATAATAGAAATATAATCTCTGTTAGTAAATCTACTTAAAAGGACAAAGAGATGCCTTTCTTTTATTTCCAGTGGGCAATAATGGAATCCCTATGTCGATTTTTCATATATGATTGAACTGCTGTATCAAACAGATGTTGCTGGTGTTGTTTTAATTCTATTATCCATATGTCTAAGATATACATGTTAGCAGTGTTGGAATTTGCTATTTTTCTAGAACATTACCTTGGGTGATAGAATTTAAGACTATCATTTTGACATGATACTAAAATCATGAAACTATGAGTACCTCCTGAATACAAATACAATTTTCGGAACCCAAATTTATTATATATATGTACATATATATACACATACACATATATAATTTATTTACATGTGTATGCACTTTATATTTGATATGTGTACATATGTACATATTTACATGTCTATATACATATAAAAATTAAATATACACAAGTTTTTATAGCATTTATAAATTATATCTACATAGGAATAAGTGTGTATATTTCAAAATTTTTATGTGTATATAAATCACACATAATAAACAAATCCACTCTTTAAATAACATACGCATAGCACAATAGACTTATTCATTTTTAAATACCAAATAAATCATCATCTATTTACTAATCACACACTATATGCCAGACAGCATGGTATGCATGTGCAGCTATGCATTACCTCCTCTTTTCTTGTGTCACGTCCTTTCTGCACAAACCAGATAACTTTTGCTTGCAAAGATCGAGGGGTACATTCCAGCAAAGTACTGTTGTTTTCTATGCCATACGCCAGTCGCTCTTCAGTCTTATCCAAAGCATCTCCTACAACATAAGTGTTAAAATTAACCATGAGACTTCAATTTTACCAGTAATATGTTTAAAAGACTATTTAGACCTCTGCAGAAAAGTAAATATCTTTCGTTACTTACTGCTAATTACTATGCAAGTCAATTAGAGAAGTTATTTAGAGACAGTGATATACCGAAATCTAGGCTTTAAAAAGGTACCACAGGCTATGAAGAGGACCAGAAGGAAGTAGCTGGGAGCGTGGGTCCAAAGGACATGACAGTCAGTAAGAAGGTCCAGCAGTGTTAAATGCATGGAGAATCAGTGACAATATCCACTGATAAAGCAGGCAAGAGGGAGTGAGCACCAAACATTCATGTCAAACAAAGGATAAATAAAATTCACGGTTACAAACAAAAACAGAAAGCAGAAACTGACGTGATACGGCATTACATAAACACAAGCGTGAGTGCGATCTTGTCAAGGGATTGCACTTTATTCAGATACTGGGTTCCTGTAGTAAGAAAAGGGTACAAAACTGAACTACAGACATGATCCGCAGCTTCTTGATATTTATCCTGGCCCAGAGAGGCTCTCACTGGACTTGAACTCAAATTTGCATATGGGCAAGTGCTCTGAACTGCAGCAGGGAATAAAAGCAAGTGGATGTATTCACTAGTGTATTAACCAGTAATCAAATTCAGTAACTAGAACCTGGGATTTTTTTTCCCCTTATGTATGAGTCCTTCTCACTTTCAAGACTGACCCCTAAATTTTCCTAGATTAGGAGCCTACCTTCCTCTAGCTAATGTTCTTAGAGGCTTAGATCCTGCACCAAACCCTCAGTCAGCCTTGGGTCTAGCAAACTGATGCTGTGCATTCTCTGGACTGTGCATTAGCACTGCTGGTCTCCTAGTTATGATGATCCACCTTCCTGTTACCTCCTGGTTGAAGCTGGTGACTGACACCAATCCCAGCCTGTTCCAACCACCCACAAGGTGTGAAGAGTCAAGGGCATAGTTTTCTGTGTTGTTTGACTTCCTTACATTTGCTGGAGCTGACATTTCCTCTCATCCTTTACCCATCAGACCAACTACTACCTTTCCTCAGAAACTCACATCTGCACCTGAGCTCTAGGCTTCCCTACTCTAGTAGAAGAGTTAAACCTTTTCATTTGTTCTATCCCAAAGTTTAGTGGTGACTTGATATAAGTTGGCTCACTCTTGAAAAGATTATCGTAGGTTACGTAACATGGTGAAGATATCTCCCAGGGTTGAGATGGAGACAGAAGTCCTACAAATCACTGTGGCACCTTTTCTAAGATTCTCCTGTTGTGAGGCCCAACAGCAAGGCTTCGTAGTGGTATATGGAACTTATTTTCCTAATTAAAAATTATATGTTCACATATAATTAAAAAACTTTGTTTTAAAATTCCACTATGTGGAAGAAAAAAGAATACTTGCAGTAACATTGTTCTAGTATATATCAATCACAGAGAAAGTAAGGACCCTTTTAAAGAGTGTGCAGTTTATCTTCACTGTATAGCCTGAATAACCCAGAGCAATTGATTTTCTATGGATTACCGACAAACTGCTGTCCAAAGCACTGCTGAGCTGCATTGCCATGCCGGACATCTTGTCTGCGGAACCGCCTGGAAGAAAGTAAATGCACTGAGGAGATGTTCAGATTTCAATTTTCCAGACTTTAAAATGTAGCCAACCGCATGAAAGAGTCAAGTAGTATTCTGCTACTGAAAAAAATTGATCAGTCATGCAAAACAAGGGTAAAATTCAAGTTGCATAGTTTCCCATATTTCCACTGAATATTATTCAATGGATAAGATCTACATGCAACGTTTTTTAAGTGTCCATGTAACTTTGAATTTTGGATCTTGAAACAATAATTTATTTAAGTTTGCTTATCTTTACAGAATGGGGAGCAGTGGGGTGGGGAGAGGCAAAGAGAGAGAGGGAAAGAGAGAATCCCAGACGGGCTCCACTGCTCTCAGTGCAGAACCCGACGCAGGGCTCGAACTCATGACCTCTGAGATCAGGACCTGAGCTGGAATCAAGAGTCAGATGCTTAACTGACTGAGCCACCCAGGAACCCCCTGAAACAATAATTACAGAAAGCTCTCTTTACATTTTGTTAAAAATGTAGTGCGACAAGAATTCTTCAGTTTCAAACAGGAGTTTGGGATGGTAAGGGAGGTGTGCAAAAGGGAAATATGATTTGAGGCAGACCATCTATTTGAATGAAAAATCATAAAACTCCTTCAAATAGAAATGCACCCAAAAAAAGGAAAGGTATTTAAATCCAAATATTTTGTTCTATATGCATCATAATCACATAGCAAAAATACAGTTGCTAATAAAAAAGAGATACAGTAAACATATATTCAATTTACTCTTTTATTCAGATATTATGGGTAGAAATCATCTGCCTCTATTGAATTTGATTCTGTGTTATACATATTTAATAAGCTGTCTTGCAAAACTGCCTATTAGATTTAGGATCACTTCTCATGTTATTGTCATAGTTTATATATTGCTTAGATATGTAAGCGAGAAATAAAAACATCCTTTAGCCATGGGAAAACATTTTATAATATAGATCTTGTTTTAAATTTGCAGGTATCTTTCTGAAGTACTAAATAATTTAAATTATTATTAGTACTGAAATTCTAACCTCAAGATTCTTAGCATATTAATTCAGATTAGAGATAAAAATAGAAGTATTACATAAAGGCAGAAAATACCACTTGCTTTTCTAAATCATGGCATTTCTTCAAGATTGAGGGAAAAACAGAAGGCAAAGCAGAAGTTTCACCCCAGAGGGAGATGGAGAGGCTTCCAAAGTGACAATGAGATTCTTTAACCATATGCAATGATAAAATTTGGAAAAGGGAACCAGATTCAAATCCCAGTGCCATCACTCATGTGCTGTTTGATCTTATACGTATCTTGTCTGTTTCTTGGTTCTTTCTGCCCTCCTTTGTAAAATGAAGTTTGTTCGAATGACATCGAAATTCTAGTCCAGGCTCAATTTTTTTTTCTTCATTCTAGGCTCTCCTCATTGCTCCAAATAATGATAATGGAACATCATTTCAAGAGATGGAGTGCTTTCTCACATACAAGTTGAGATCTCAGTTAACAACTCAATACTTTAAAAACTTTGGTTTAGGGGCACCCGAGTAGCTCAGTTGGTTAAGCGTCTGACTTTTGATTTCGGCTCAAGTCATGATCTCACAGTCTGTGGGATCTAGGTTCGAGCCCTACTGGGCTCTGCGCTAACAATGCGGAGCCTGCTTGGGATGGTCTCTCCCAGCTCCTTCTGCTCCTCTCCCAGGAGCACGTGCATGTGCATGCGCGCGCGCTCTCTCTCTCACACACACACAAAAATAAATAAACATTTAAAAAACAAAAGAGAAAAACAAAGGTTTATTTCCTTATGTTGTAAGCTAAAGCAGATGAATATTTCCAATTTTTTGAATTATGACCTGTGTGCAAAATCATGGTGCTTTGAAAGAGAGACTGCAGATTAGAAGAGTTTATCTAAAAACGTGGGATTTTATAAAGATTAAAACTGCTGTATGAATCATTCTATTGAATTAAATTGAAAAAAGAACTTGACAAAGAAGGAGCTAAAATGGAAAGTTTTATGCTCCTTTATTATTTTAACTAGCATGTACATAGCTATGTATAACTGATAGCAGATCTGGATACGAAATATTCCACTGCTGTCGATCCCTCGCTTCATTAAGTATTGCTTTGGTCCTGGGACTCTAAAGTCTACTGAGCATTAATGAATAATGGAGCAGGGGTAAATCCATGAAACAGGAAATAGTTTCTACTTTGCAGAAATGTTGTATCAGGATTATGACACAAGTGATATGAGAATAGGGGAGACAGATCAGATAATTCTAGATAAGAGATGTGAATAATAAGTATGCAAAAGTTTTGTTTAAAATCACTGAAAACATAAATTTAAAAAGAAAGCTATCAGATCCCCCAACAAGGTTTCAGTTCATTTTATGCGATCTTAATGCAACTGCCCTTTATTCCAGTGTTTAAAAAAGACTATAAATGCTTAGGACTTTTAGTAACGTTAATCAAAGTCGCCTTTTATTCTCAATATTGTATATTTTTCTTGTATCTCTTGCCACTTAGAAACTGTTTTAAGAGAACACCGGAAATAGACAAAATACAAGAGCAAGGGGAAGTAAAAGACTTAGGTCTATAAATTAGAGTGTATTTTGGAAGACTATTTTAAACAAGCGGTTTGGATTGTGAATTAATGTTTTTTCTCTGTTGACTCATTTTCACTCTGTGAACAGAAAAGTATTTATTTTAGTGACCAGTTTTCAATTTCTGCTGCTCGTCAGGTCTGAAGCAAAAACGACCTGCTATAAAAGCAAACTATTTTCCCTTCATGTGCTGGAGCCTATCCAAAAATTCTCCTCCAGGGGTGGGTGATGGTTCAAAAACATCTGACACATGGAAAGATCTCCATTACATGTCACTGAACTGAACTAATTCATTTATGAGCACAGCTCCTGACTCAAACATGGTGCTCCTTCCTAAGATTTTGCCCCTTCGTTTAACTTTTACTAAATAACTTTTTGGCCACCCTTTGTAAATATATTATCAAGCTTGTGGACATCTACTCTAAAAAGATGTACCATGTGTCAAGAAGTATTTAGTTTTGGAAACTGCTCAGTTAGAATTCATCACCCATACTGCACCCTTAATACAGTAACAAAATACAATACTTGTTATTCATAAGTACTGGATGCAAGGTTTGCAAACATTGTTATTGTTGCTAATAATTTTAATTTTATTCTTTTTTGGTGAAATGACCTTTCCACCCTTCAGACCAGCTACTTTACTCCTAACCTAGGGAACTACATGTTTTTTCCTGACCATTCTGTACCTTCTGTACAAATTCTCTTTAACTAGAATCTTCTTATATTTCTACCTACAAGCCTGAGCTGGAAGGTTATTTTGAACATTAAAAAATGTGTAATGTATACTGCACTTAGTTCAGTATGTTATACATAGTAAGTGCCCAGTAGTGACCTGCTACCATCCTTATTTCCAATTCCATTCTCCGCTTTAGGTTCTGATCTTGTAGCCAAGGAGTACTGACTGCTTCTTCATTCTCCTTGCACACAGTACAGTAGTTGGCACCATGGGTAAATAAATCATTGAACAATATTTTTACACAGTAACATGGCTCTATTCTTTAAGAAGTGTTTTTATTTTTTTATTTTTTTATTTTTTTTTTTAATTTTTTAATGTTTTTTATTTATTTCTAGAAGAGAGAAAGACAGCGTGAGCAGGGGAGGGTCAGAGAGAGGGGGAGTCACAGACTGAAACAGGCTCCAGGCTCTGAGCTGGCAGTCAGCACAGAGCCCGACGCGGGGCTCGAACCCACGAACCGCGAGATCATGACCCAAGCGAAAGTCGGACGCTTAACCGACTAAGCCACCCAGGCGCCCCAAGAAGTGTTTTTAAATATCAATAAGCATTTGTACAAACTCAATTAACTTGCTCAATTCTTTAAGATGGGTGGTAAGTTTAGTTTACAAATGTCCTCCCAAAGTATCTTTTCACTGTTTATTATATACTTTCATTAAGTATTCACTGGAGTGAATGTTAATGTGGTTAACATCGAGTTAAGAAAACTTCTTAATTAGTGACTATGTTTATTATAAATGAGATTCTACTACATATATGTGAACTTATAAAAGTAACAACTATATTAAGGTGGGTTAGATTTTTTAAAAGTTTGAAGTACCCCAGAGTGGAAGAGTAAAAATAACTAAATTAATAAAAATTGTTTTTCAGTAAGGAAATCATATGTAGTTCTATGTTTTGCTTTATATTGTCTTCTGTTACTTTACTAGGAGAAAAAAATAACTGCTTATTCTTATGACATAAAAGTATCTTCCTTTATGTTTTACCCCAAAGAATGAACAATCTCACATGGCTCGAGTGAGTGAGCAAAGATCTCCAACCTTCAAAATACTTTCTGGACTTCAAGGTTTCCTGTTCAAAGAATACTGGGATTTACCTTCTCTTATAAGTTGCAGTGACCTCCCTGAATTATAGACATTAGAGTTTGGAAGTCTCTAAGTACTTTTCATTTGTCTTGAATTAAATCACACGTTTCATTAATTATACAGGTCATGCATTTACCTAGGAGTTAAAATATTCACTTTCAAAATGAAATAAATGAAGACCAGCTGGTCGAGAAGACATGGGGCAAATACAGGATGTATTTTAGAATTTATTTATTTATTTTTCTTTTAAGTCTTTGAATCCCTCACGTGTGGTGGCTTACCATTTCCACATTTTAAGTTTATCCAAACTGGTTTCATGTCTTGCAGGAAAGTTGTCAGGAGGGGGAAGAGTTGATTCAAACATGGGTAAAGAAAAAAACGACCCAGCAGCATGCCCTACTCCAATCTCTACACAATAACTGACAGGAGTTATTTTCAGGGAAAATTCAACTTTCAAAGCTTATATTATGAACAAAATATTACTATGATGGTTTTTTAAAACAAAAATAACACGGGTGTTTTCATGGAATGTGTGCAGAAAGAAAAATATTTTCAAAAGTGTTATGGGTTTTCTAAACAAGGGAAGTATCCCATTGAGGGCTCTCTCACCTTTTTGCATGGGTGCCTGTTGGGTAATACCGGGAACAGGATATGCCATCCCAGGCACAGTAAGGGTCTCGAGCCAGGCAGCAGTCAGCACAAGCACTTCCGTACATGTCACACTGATGGAATCTGACTTGGGCCACGGCAGAAGCAGATCCAATATACAGCTGTTGCTAGAGACATCAAAGAACAGAGAGACCACTAGCAGAAATGGACAGAACTCTCACTGATCTTCGCCTCTGTGAATATTCCTTTAAATTATTGCAGTTACTCAGGGTGGATAATGGAACACTGATAATTTCATTTCTCTAAGATTTGAAATAATTTTAGACCTGAAGTCCCGAGCAACAAAACTGCACAAGTGGGCTTGACAAAATCTCATGAAGCTGACTATTCTTTTGCTATCTAAATAGAAAGACTCATCAGTTAATGCTGTAGGTCTTTTTAAAGACCTATGGGATGAATGCTGACAAAAAATGAGGGCTGATGGATGTGGGGGGGAGGGGGTGTGGGCATGGAGGAGGACACTTGTGGGGATGAGCACTGAGTGTTATGTGGAAACTAATTTGACAATAAACTATTTGTAAAAAAAAATAATAATAATAAAAATTAAAAAAAAAAAAAAAGACCTATGGGAATGTCCAAGAACAGACTGGATACGTGAATGCTCTTTTGCTATTGTCATCGTCATTGTTGCTTTTCATCTTTGTAAAATTGTTCTTAAAATTTTTTTAAATTTATTTTTGAGACAGAGAGACAAGGTATGAGTGTGGGAGGGGCAGAGAAAGAGGGAGACAGAATCCGAACCACGTTCCAGGCTCTGAGCTGTCAGCAGAGAGCCCGATGCAGGGCGGCTGAAACTCATGAACTATGAGATCATGACCTGAGCTGAAGTCAGGCGCTCAAATGGCTGAGCCACCCAGCTGCCCCTGTTGTTTCATTTTTTAAACTGAGATGTAATTAACTAATAACATTACTTTGGTTTCAGTGCGTAGTGATCCAATATTTGCGTATTGTGAAATACTGAATTATGATCAACAGAATAATAAGTCTAGTTAACACTCCTCAACACTCATAGGTTAATGAAAACTTTTACAGTATGCTCTCTTAGCAACTTTCAGATCTGTATTAGGGTATTATTAACCACAATCACCATGCCATATATTACATCCCGGGTTTTCCATTATAACTGGAAGTTTGTACCTTATGATCACCTCCGCCCATTTTGCCCACTTCCCATCCCTTGCCTCTGGCAGCCACCAAACTGTTCTCTGTATTTTATGAATTCGTTTTCTGTTGTTGTTGTTGTTGTTGTTGTTGTGTTTAAGTCCACGTATCAGTGAATTTATAGTTTATATGGTTCCTGCCTTTCTCTGACTTATTACACTTAGCATAATGCTCTCAAGGTCCATTCATGTTGTCACAAATGGAGGATTTCCTTCTTTTTTATGGAGGAATAATATTCCACATATATACAACATTTTCTCTATCCATTCATCATTGATGACACTTAGATTGTTTCCTCATTTTGGCCATTGTAAATAATGTTGCAAAAACATGGGTGCAGAGAGCTTCCAGAGGGAGTACTTTGTTTCCTTTGGATAAATATCCAGAAATGACACTGCTTAATCATATAGTAGTTCTATTTTTAATAAATTGAGGAAACTCTGCACTGTTTTCCATATTGGCTGTAGCAATTTACATTCCCACCAAAACTGCACATTAACACTAAACACCTAAAAGAGTGATGCAGCTATATACAGAGAGAATAGCATGGAATAAACTGTAAGATCTGTTGTGAAGTAACAAGTGATAGAATAATTAATGTTGCATGTCCCTGTTTGTCTAAACATAAATTGTTATTTATAAATAAATGTGAGGTCATATATGCATCAACTATTTCTGGAGAAAGCTGTACCAGTAACTGGTTCTAAAGTGGAGAGGAATTTGTGTTTCACTGCACACTCTTTTGTGTTGCTATCATTACTGTTATTTTTGCAAAAATGTTAATGAAAAAAAATTACAGAATAACATCCTATCATGATTATGGAGGAAAATCTACTCTCATCTACATTCCTCTAATAATAGAAAATAAAGAAACCTATTACATGTAAACCACTACATATTCTATTACCAGGATACAACTGTAGCCTGTTTATACCTACTTCTACTCTTTATTCTTACCCTTTCCTCACATATAGAACACAAACACATACACATAACTTACTCTCTTTGAAGAAATCTCCATGGAAATAATAGGAACTGGATCCTGCAAAAAATTTTTTTAAAGATTGTTTTTAAAGAAATATAGGAATATACCCTAATATGGTTGTAATCGTATGAACTCGTATTAGGTATGTGAGCGGTTCTAGGCTGGTCTATAAGCTTTCATTTTAGCAAATCAATAGGAAAACATAATTACATTAAAATATAGCTTTCTTTTATTTTTATTTATTTATTTATTAATGCTTTATTTATTTTTCAGAGAGAGACAAAGTGTGAGTGGGGGAAGACACAAAGTACGAGAGAGGGGGAGACACAAAACCCAAAGTAGGCTCCAGGCTCTGAGCTGTCAGCACAGAGCCTGACACGAGGCTTGAACTCACGAACTGTAAGATCATGATGCAAGCCAAAGCCGGACACGTAACCAACCGAGCCACTCAGGAGCCGTGTAAATATAGCTTTCTTTAAAAAAAAAAATCTTTTTAATGGAGTAGAGCAGATAGGTAACATGAAAAAAGCAGTGGCTTATCTAAGTAAGCCGTTATGTTTCTGAAATGTAATTTTTGCATTTGCATTTGAATATTACTCTTGCTTTGGAAACTCAAACATCTCTAAATAAAATAGCAAAGTCACAGCATTCTTTCTTACAATTTGAACCATTGGAAATGAAACAGTTAGGTCTTTCAATAGGTGTTATTGTTAGTAAACCATGTGATCATTAATTGTTTTAATCCAAGTCTAATAGGAATACTTTTCTGTTGGGGAGTTATTATGGTCAAACACTATGAGCCCAGGATGCTCCCAGAAGAATAATGTCATTGCCATAGAACGGCATCAGAGGAAAGACCATCTATCACCTGGTTTGGGGAGCCCGTGTGTTATTCTAGGGACGGTGATTAAAACGAGAGTATCTCTAACGAGGATCCCAACTCAAAGGACTCCGCAAGTAGACAAGCAATTAGGCAGGTGGGATCTACACAATGGAGGATTGTCCTTCAAAGAATTATTTTTTGAAAGAGGAAGTTTCATCCCCTGTGTCAGTATTTTTTCTGATATTTTAAACTATAGAACCCTTCATTCATGCATCCATGCACTTATTTATTCGTTCAAGTGATAGGGTTTTCTAGCGTTGATATGAACAAGATACTGTGGGGGAAGGCTCCTAATGAGGTAGCTCTGGTCCCTATTGTGAAATGACATCTTACACAGAAATCCAATATGCAAGAGAGACAAAAACATAGCTTCTCTGGTTGAGACAGAAACATGGTCAGCTTTGGGTGTGGCTAATCTCCAGGGCAGCTAAGATGAAATGAACTGTTTTTCATCAATAGAAATATTTTCGTACATATTCATAATACACACACAGTCAATCTTCATAATGTGTAGACTGTATTTTTTTTTCAAATTTTCTTAATTGCTTAAATGTATCTGTGATCCCATCATTAATACTTATAGTGTTCTTTGGTCATTCCTGGACAATTTTGACGTTTAAAATGGGCTTTAGGCAAAGGGTTGAAGTGCTGTATAGTGTGTCTAAGTTTCAAAAGGCTGTAATGTGCCTTATGGGAAAATACATGTGTTAAATAAGCTTTGTTCAGGCATAAGTTACAGTGCTGTGGGCCAGAAGTTTAATGTTAGTTAATAAACTATATATGAAATAAGATGTCTTTATATAAAAACACAAAAGAACAATGCTATATATTGATCAGTTGACAAAAATGTTGTGACAAGAGACTCACAGGAACCTAACCCTCTCTTTCCCCTAGGAGCATCAGTCAGGATTCACTAATTTAGTGTTGACTGTGATTCTAAAGACCATAAGTGCCATAAATATTGAGACTTGAGTCTGTATGTATGTGCGTGTGAGTGTGTGTGTGTGTGTGTATGGGTGTGTATGCATACAGAAAATTGCTTGTGTCATGTCTAATCCTTCCGTTATCATTTTGAAGTTTTCTCTTTTTTAGCAAATTCTTTGTGTAATTGCTATGTTAGAATAAAAAGCAGTATACTTATAGCATCACAACGCGCACAATATGTAACCTACTGCTTCTTTTAATTGTCTTGACAGTACATTTGTAAAATGAAACTTTGCAATAATGATTCTGGAGTTCATATGTGGTATGTGTCATTTCTTTAAGTCACACTTCATGCTAGCTAGGTTAATATTAGCATTTTCATTTGAATAGTCTACAATAATCAAAGAGATGCATCAGGATTTTAAACCATTTTTCACTTCAGATTCACTCTGAATTCACAACATACCTGTTAGAAAAAAAAATGACCCAGCATCTTTAATATTCACAAGTCCTTTACAATAGTCTGTTATACGTAATTGTTGGCTATTTTATTTTATTTTTTTACTAAAAATACCTTGAATATCTGAAGTTCTTCTAGAATTACTTCTTCCATTGATTCTGTTTCTTGGTTATAAATAGTGATTACTTTCAGTACAATTCCATTATCTGTAAGAAAGTAAAAGGAGAGATAAACCAGAGCCTTGTCACAATCTGATTTTCAAACAATTAAAAACCATGAAGGGACTGTGAATTTGAATAAAATCTGAGATCTAGATGCATGAAACATTTACTCATTGGTAGTTAAAACAATATGATCACTCATATACTCATATTTTAAAAATACTAGAAAAAATAACTTTATATGTCTGGCTAAGAAATAAGATCAAATAATATGTAATTGTTTTCCAAATAATGTGATTCAGAAGCTCAATTAAAGGTTGAGAAACTGAACTGTATTTTTAAATATATAATTTTATCTGATATCGTATTACTTATATACACACTTTAATAAGAAAAATTTCAAGAATGCACCTACTGAGAGAACAGAGTAAGTCCTCCTGTACTAATCATTTAACTTCCATAATTATCAATAATTTTATAAATTAAAATACATAATTTAAAATTTCACGTTTTATTTACTCGATATTCTGAACGTGTTCTTTCCAATAAAAATTTAATAAGACACTAATTCGCTTGTAAGAATGTTTTGATGTATTGCTAAAAATAGCTCAGGAAAAATAAACACTTTGAAAGTGCTGATTTAAGAATTTCTATGGTGTCTAGGCAGTTTGCTTAAAAATTATCAAATCATGAGGTTGGACAAATAAAATTTGATCAAAACAAAATAACAATTACCTATATAATACATGAAAAGGAATACAAACAATACTTTTTAAGCTAAGAATACATAATAAACACCTTATGATTATTATACCAAGCAAAAAGCAAAGATGAAACTCAGATTACTAATTTGCAACTAGCGATTTGCAATAAGGACCCTCCCTATATACAGTATTTTATACACACCCACACTCAATATTAAAGCACGTGGAAATATCATTATCATTTGTGGGATTTTCCAATGTACCCATCACACAATCATCAAATATATTCTTTTGTGCTGAAAAGGTGTGGCTCAATATAATATCTTCGAGTTAAAAATCATTTACATGATAGCATAAATATATATCTGATATTTCTGGAATTCTCTCAAATAGCTTTAGTCAATCTAACAAGAGAGTATTTCTAAAAACAGTCTTGGACTGATATACGATTTATGACTGATACTTTTCCAGGACATTTAAAAATAACATACCTTTTCCCATGATTAATTTTATCAAATATAATTCTTGCTTATGAAACTTAAAAAGAAAAAGCTCTATTAGGTGTCATTATGAGTGAATTCATGGCCAAGTAATTTGAAGTATGTTAAAGAAATGTGACGCTTTATTAATCTTGAATCTGCAGTGCAGAGCATATTATGAACATTAACCTCATAAAATAAGGATAAAATATAGCCTACACCAGAGATCAATTTCTGCAAATCAGAGATGAATGTTTCCTTACTTAAATCTTTCCTTTTGCAAAAAGAATGGAGAAGGCCAAGCACCAATATTGGTATTATATTCTGGTTCCCAATCTAAGTATATGCAATGTCTCTGTCGAATTATGTCTCTGCCGTAAGTCACATATGGTGGGATGCTTACTTTTCTAAATAGCAACTGCTGTAGCAATGACTATAATGTATATGAAAATGAAACGATAATTTAAACGATTTTTTAAATGGCTCTAGATTTTTAAAGTACTTGACAGAATTTTTATCTATTATCCAGATGCTAAAAGCTTCAAAGATTCCAAGCTCTCTTCCACAAGCTAGATGTAGGAAATTACTTGAAGTTACATATTTATTTGAAAATGTCCCTTTTTAACATTTTTATTACTTTGTTTTAATAATGCAGGATATTATAGCTTTGCTCTAAAAGTCTGCCTCCATTGTGGGTTACAAATGGTTGATTCTGATGGAGCCCGATAAGCATTGTTGTGATTATACACTTAGGTGAAGTTATGGTCCCAAGCTGTTTAACAAATCTTGAGACCTTACTGAACGGCCAAAGGCGGCAAGGGATCTGGGGGCTGAGGACCGAATCATGCTTGCTATGGTTGCCTACCTCCTCTGGGAGAAGTTCTGTTTGGAACCAGTGCTATTTATTAACATCAATTACTCAATCCTCATCCATTTATTCAAGGGTATTAAGTATTGACGGTGTATCGGGAATTATGGGTTATAACTGCCTCAAATCCTCTCTTCCAATGAAGAGAAAAAGCAGTGTGCAGGGGCACCTGGGTGGCTGAGTCGGTTAAGCATCTGACCTGAGGTCATGATATGTGGTTCCTGAGTTTGAGGCTGGGGTCAGGCTTTGTGCTGACAGCCTGCTTCAGATTCTGTGTCTCCCTCTCTGTCTGCCCCTCCCCTGCTCACATTCTGTCTTTCTCAAAAATAAATAAAAACATTTTAAAAAGCAGTGTGAAAAGAGGCTAATGGATTAACAGGAGATTTGTTGATAGGCTTTTAAAATATTAATAATGTTAATGATTTAATATAAATATATATATTTATAAATAAATATATATATATATATATATATATATATATGTCTCAGTACTTTCTAATCTCTTTACCTGTCCCGATAAACAAGACATCATATTGGCCATCCTCAGCTTCCACTCGATCCACCGCTATTTGTTTCAGGTTATATCTTCCATCTGTTTTTACCAGGATTGGTTTTTTATGGGCAGGTTTTATGGGTTGGTACATAAGTGGATGGCTTCTCGCAAATCGGATGGCTTCATCGGGATAGTCTTTGGTGGTTCCGTACCTCCCACCATTAACTTTGCTGGCACACTGTAATACAAGCAGATATTTTTTTGCCTTAAACCTAAAGAGCAAGTTTGTAATCAATCATGAAAACAATCGGAAAACTGGATGTGTTCAATGAATTAACTGCAGTTAGAAATATTTAGTAACTACATACCCTTCACTAGAGAAATAAAATCTGCATTTTTAAAAAATTGCAAATAAACATGGAATCATGCCAAACAGGCATCACTAGAAAAATACAGAAAGCAGTGAATTCTTGGGAAAGTGAAGTATACTGAATATTGTACAATGTGAAGGTGGTAAAATTGTGTATCATCATACAAATTGTTATCTTTTCCCTTTTTCTGAAATTTACTTTTTCACACTGTAATTTAAGTTTTGAAGCTAAACGATGCATTGTTCATAACAAAGGAAAAATCCTCTGTTGTGCTAAATCCTCCTCCCAAATTAAGGATCACAACAGCACAAAATAGTTTTCCCATTACTGAGACTTAGATAATATGATTGGTGATGATTCCAATGGACTCACCGACTATAGAATTTTAGTGCTGTAACAAAGAAGCCCATTTATATTCAGTCAGTGTTAAAGAAAAGAAATCCCTCTCCGTTCTGCTGTAAACTGTATGAATTGATATTATTTCTGTATAGATTCAACACAATAAATTGAGAAAATGAGAAATATTTGCAATAACATGCTTAAATTCTTAAATTACTGATTCTAAAAATAAATGTTCAACAGGACCTAAGTGACTTCTCGGAATACCTTTAACTGTGTTGATTCATGCTTGTTATAAGCACTCCCTCATTCCATGTACTCCCCTCCAGAATCAGCAGCGACTGCAACGATTATGTTGATAAAGAATTTTCCACTTTAGAGTATAAATACAGTAGTGTAGTAATCAGATTCTGCAAAGAGGGCATTTTTAATGGTCTGTTTTAAAATTCAGGTCATATTTCTTAATTTGGCCTGAATTTTTCACTGGAGTGTACTTACATGATACATAATTGGAAACATTCTGGACCAGCCTGGAAGCAGTTCAGTAACCAGTCACTTCCTCCAAATCTCCTTTAATACCATGTGGTTTCAAGAAGCATTTCCAGCAAAGCCACAGGAGTGGGTTTTCTCCATTTAAATTGTAATTTCAATCAATAGAGTGAAATAAACTATACTTTATGTCTTACTGGAAGTAATAATTTTAAGCTAGTGAGAATGATTGAAATGGTAAAGCTTTACACTTGTTAATGGAGGTAAGGTTTGTTTCCACTTTGAATTTTGGCTCTGCAAAATGGTTTCTACTTGACTTGCAAGCACTTGTGGAATGAGCACAGTGACGGGTTTTCACCAGCTGCTCAAGAAAAAGTGTAGACTCTGACTTGTATGACAAGTTAAATGTTTGTTCTCCGTGGTCCATGAGCACATACAATGAGCTGACATTTTTCCAACTGAGTTTTTCCCAGGACACATGACACAAATTCATCATCATTGTCATCGTCATCATCATTTTTAGATACATATGTAAGTGAGAGCACAAAAGCTTGCATGGCTAATTAGGGAGGATGTCAGCAGCCCGAGCTCACAGGCAAGCAGGGAAACTTCTGGAACTTTAGAAGCACTTTTGTATTGGCATTTTCCTTCTAGGAGCCAAGAAAGATGTGGAATGAGATGCTAAGTATACTGATAAGGCAAAGAAAAAGCTTCTTTCCGTGATGCTAAAGTGAGAAGAAAGGAGAAAGTTTGTCCGGGAGAACTTGGAGGCTGACTCAAATATTAGGATGTAAATATATGGCAACTGTCTCGTGCTTGGAAATGACACATGGCACCAATTCTTCTGAAGAAATGGAGGAATATGATGCTCTTTTTGTTGGATGTTTCTGTGTTCAACAGTATCTCAAAAATAAAATTTCTTTTGGGGCTTCTTGGTCAAAATATCAATGATAATGCATACTTTATCATGCTGCTAAGATGTACCCACTGCACATTTTTTTATTAGATAAAAAGCATACACCAGACATAAGGAGTGATATTTCTTTACCACGCAAGTAATCAAGCATATTTTTAGGTGTACAATTTCTTAATTGTTTAATGCAAGCATTGTAAAGCATCTGAAACACTGAACAAAATACTACTAAAAGAGCCTTTAAAACCTAAGAATACTTTGTTAAATGCCTAAACTTACAGAACCAGGTCTTGGGTAAGGGACTTTTCCTTCATAGAGTGACCAGTGGTATTCAGGTCCTTCCTTATGCGCATATGGTCCATTAAAGGCTGCCCGGATGCTAGACATATGATAGACACATATTGCATGTCCCCTGAATATGTTACTGGGGAAAAAAAAAAAGATAATTACTATTCTGGAACTGACTAGCAGTCACCTAGTCAAACCCTTCAGACCACAGAGAGTGGTCTAAAGTCTTTTGGATAAAAAAGTTGCGATGTCTTAAGTATAGGATATTCTACAAATATGAACTACCGCAATATTTGAAGTACTGGAACTCCAACACTTACCATTTCTTTGTCTTCTTACAATAAAATAAAATAAAATAAAATAAAAATGACAATGCTAGACTTAAAAAAGTGACACTTGTCACCTCACTGTATTACTAAATCTTCTACTGTGCTTTTATATTTTTATTAAGGGAAATATGGCCTGAATATTTAAAAAGATTCATTCCCAAATTGAATTACTCATTTTTAAAAAGTTGATCTATTTTGAGAGAGGGAGAGAGGGAAAGCAGGGGAGGGCCAGAGGGAGAGGGAGAGAGAGAATGCCAAGCAGGCTCCATGCTGTCAGTGCAGAGCCTGACTTGGGGCTTGATCTCATGAACTGTGAGATCGTGACCAGAGACAAAATCAAAAGTCAGATGCCTATGCAACTGAGCCACCCAGGTGCCCCTGAATTATTCATTTTAGGCTTTATCTCCTTGTACAGATGTTTCATATTCAGAGTAGTCACTGCTCGCCTAATCACTATGCTGATAGAGCTGCTAATTCTGTTCAAGCTTTATTTGATTTCTCAGTGTATATGATCAAACAACAAGTTAAATCTCATGAAACTTTGGGGCTTTGTTCCATTCTTTACACTGGGTCACACAGGCATTAATAAGCTTGCTGTGTAGTCCCTTCTCTGGTGACCTCCATGTTGCTGAAACCGCACAAAACTGGAAAGACGGCTGCATCGCACTAGATTAATTTTGGGAAAAATGACTTAAATTATATAAAACTCGGACGGTTTACCTCCAGCATAGCAACAATTGGAACCAGTTTTTTAAATAAAAATTTCTACTCATAAAGGATAAAGATAGCAGATGACTACAGCGAGTTTTACCGGGGCATTTGGGATAAATCTCTGCAAAAGGATATTTGCAAATGATTTGTTTTAAAAGTCCGGCTGTATTCCTTAATCCGGTATGATCTGAATGAATTCAAACATTTGCCCGGCCTCCTCACTGTGAGAATCAAAATAATGAATGTTTGCGAAAGTGCTTTCCATAACGCATAGTTCTTTATAAACGTGAAAGTTCCTATACTCCGAGGCACCTGTAGAGCAGCAGTTATGTAACTGTCTTAGAACATCAATTCACACATTTTATAACACACCTTGAAGCAATTGAAAATGCCTCCGATAGTGAGAAAACCAGAGATAGTCTCCCAACTAAAGTGGCAATAAACCTTTGATCACCATGCTACAAATATCAACCTGTAAGTCAGGTAACAGCTGGGACGCCTTTCCCCCAGATTTATGTATAAATTGAACAGTTAAAATTGAAATTATGGGAAAAAATAATGTGTTGTCTTTGAAATCTAGACAGATCCATTATGTCATCATTTAGGAAAGTACCTTACAAAGTGATCATACTAACCTGTGGAAAAACTACTCTGGTTATACCATAGCTTTTATTTATTATAAAGCCATGGAATTAGAATGCAATTCTAAATTCTTTACAGGCGTGAGAGAGAAGATGAAATAAAAAAAAAAAAGCGAGGACTGTGGACTGTGACAACTTCCAGTCTACATTCACTATTTTTCTTTGCATCAAGGAAGAATTGATAGCAAAATTGTTTCCATGTTTCTCTGTTAAAGAGAAGGTCTCCTTACAATTGCACAATACTTATAAAAAGAACTTGATTATTTCTTTCAAAGTGAGCATAAGAAAGCACCTGCTGAAGAACAACAAACAACAACTTTGTGGAGAGAGATAGAGCAAACAAGGCTAAACACTACAACATAGCTGAAGACCAGTGCAATGTGAAAGAGGAAGCGTGAGTTCTATCATTCTATCCCTGTCTAGAGAATTGAGGTATATTCTTTACTACTCATTCCAGTCATTTCGTCTTCACCATCTCCTATTTGGAAAGAAACACTCAGGAAATTATATGTGTAAACTTTCTTTTAAAAAATGTTTTAACACTTATTTATTTTTGAGAGACAGAGAGAGACAGAGCATGAGCAGGGAAGGGGCAGAGAGATGGAGCCACAGAATCCTAAGCAGGCTTCAGGCTCTGAGCTGTCACCACAGAGCCCCACGTGGGTCCTGAACCCACAAACTGTGGGATTATGACCTGAGCCAAAGTAGAACGTTTAACTGACTGAGCCACCCAGGTGCCCCAATATGTGTAAACTTTCAATCAAAACTGATGCTAATAAGTGTTTTTCATTCATGTATTGCTACACATGAAACAGTATTTCATTTTCTTCAACACTCCTTAATGGATACAAAATAAAACATGTTAAAGAGAAAAGTAATAGATCATAAGCCCTAAACTTAAACATCTTATTTAAATTTAAAACACGGAAGGCAAATCATAAATATGTGTTCTCTATGAATCTGCATAGGAGCAGGACAGCCTGAGTAAGGGAGTGAGCAAAAGTGCTCTATTTAAATGCTCTTAATTATGGAATCAAGGAATATTTCTTATAGATGGCAACTGACAAGTACTGGGGAACTGATATAAATCAGCGCTGGAAGACAGTCATTTAAAGCAAGAGAGGTGGGTAAATAAAATCACAGTGTTGGGATTCTAGTGAGTTAGACATGGATTTTGTCAAGGTAACATCTTGTAAAAAACAGGACATCAGAGAGCTTAGAGGAAAAACTTCCAAAGCTGAATGAGTAACAGTTGACAAAGAGGCTTGAAAAACTGACTCGGAAAACTTATCACAATTAAAGTAATTATTCTAACCTCTGTAACATGAAACTAGTATCTTATAAACTACATGAGAAGAAAACCATTCTGTTGAAGCTCAGAGAGGGAGGAAATTAGGATACTGAGCACGGAAGGAAGCTGGGGTGCTTCAAACAGACACGAAGATCTGAATTGAGATCATGGCTTAAAAATGAAAGAACACTTGCAAACATGAGAACAAAGAGAAATTGGTGACGTAAAAAACAGACAATGACAATGGGTCTACAGTATTCCCAATTTGCAGACACCATGAAGGGGTAAGGCATATTTTGTTTTGTAATGTTTTTACTGACCATATGAATTACTCACCTGGTAGTGTTAAAGAGTCCAAATATCACTGGGTTCTTATGATCTCTGGTGTGTAGCAAGAAAACATCCTCTGAAAAATTAAAGGCCATTACATGAGTATTTGTAGTGCTCTTTGCATGTAAAGAAAAGATACTGACATAAAAGAGCTTAGCATCCATTACAGATTTAAGATATCGATGTCTTTCCATAAACGGTCATACGACCATGACCAAATTACAAAAAAGTGAAGTACTTGGCTATTCCGGATGACTCTGAGCTAGGCCTTAAGGAAGGAACAAGGTGCTGACTGTAAGCTACTGAGAGGGACCTTCCATTGCGTCAGCTCCTCTGACCCCACCACATGGACCTGGCCAAAATGAGAAGGATAGAAACCTGCACGCTGCAGGAACCAAGTCTCCCTAAGTGCTAGAGAGAGTGAGGGTTTAGCCAGAGGGATAAGCATCAAAGGGTAACATTTAATCCTTCAATTCAATAAGATTTACCTAATTCATCAAAATATGTGTCAATTCCATTCATTCCTGGTACTGAGCAAATGAGTCGTGCTTTGAGGAAAGTACTCCACTTATTCACCAGGATTCTCTGTCCTCCTATATCATTCTGCGACAAAGAGAAGCACGTAAATGAGTACCTAAAGAGCTTTTAACACGAAATTTTATATTATTAAACATGCAGATGTAAGAGTTGTAGCCTTTCTGTTTAATCTGGAAATTATAGCTTAATCCTCAAATAATACCCCAGATGTATTTGCTCATAAAAATTCTTGGAGATTTCCACCTTTTGCCTGGTTAGTATACTTTTACTCTGTCCATTAAATATACTTTCTATGTACTAAAGAATGCTGATAGAGTGGTGTTTCTGATGTAAAATGGTGGGTTTCATAATACAGTAATCTTCAATATTATTTTACTGGTAAACAATCTGTTTATTTTAGAAAAAGCATCCACTATTTTTTTTCTTTTAGAGAAAAAACTTGAAATACATACACACACATATATACACACAAAATACCCATATGTTTGCACACACGCACAAAAATGTACGTACATATATATATATATAAATTTCTTAAATTTATTCTGAAATATCAAAGTAACTTTACATTTGCAATATTATTAGCATTCTTTCAATATATATTGCTTCTACAGTTGGTTTTGAATATTTCCAAACAGCTTATCTGAATACCCAACCAACCACAGATGCTTTTTCAACAGGGTCAACCAAAAGAACTGTTGAAACAATATAAATTATTGAGAATGTGGACTAAAGAAACTAAAAAGATTTTGGCTAAATCAAATTTTTACAAAGGGAGTTCAAATTTCTGTTTGAGAAGAGGTACAGCCTAACTATAGACTATCTCTTCTTAGTATGGTTTTGAAAATGGGGGAAATAATACAAAATGCACACCTCTCTTAAGATAAAACCTACAGGAGAGGGCACCTGGGTAGCTTAGTTGGTTAAGCGTCCGACTCTTGATTTCAGCTCAGGTCATGATCTCATGGTTTGTGGGATCGAGCCCTGCATCATGCAGAGCTTGCTTAGAATTCTTTCTCTGTATCTCTGTCTTTCCCTCTGCCTCTCGCTCTCGCTCTCCCCCCACCTTCAAAAAGAAATGAACTTAAAAAAAAAAGATCAAACTTTCCAGGGACATGAAGTATAAATATTACATAGCAAATAACGATTTTAGGCAGACTAGAAAGCCTACTGGGATGCCTGGGTGGCTCAGTGCATTAAATGTCTATCTTTGGATTTGGGCTGAGGTCATGATCTCATGATCTCACAGTTCGTGAGCTCGAGCCCCGTGTCAGGCTCTGTGCTAACAGGGCAGAGCCTTGCTTGGGATTCTCTCTCTCCCTCTCTCTGTGGCCTCCCCTGCTTGAGCTCTCTCTCCCTTGCCCTTTCAAAAGCAATAAACATTAAAAACTTAGGGGCGCCTGGGTGGCTCAGTCGGTCAAGCGTCCGACTTTCGCTTGGGTCATGATCTCGCGGTTCGTGGGTTCGAGCCCCGCATCGGGCTCTGTGCTGACTGCCAGCTCAGAGCCTGGAGCCTGTTTCAGAGTCTGTGACTCCCTCTCTCTCTGACCCTCCCCCTGCTCATGCTGTCTCTCTCTCTCTCCTAGAAATAAATAAATAAAAAAAAAAACATTAAAAAAAAAACTTAAAGAGAAACTTAAAAAGTAAAGAAAAAAACGGAACAAATGACCAAAGCCTGACTATAAATCGTGATCTAAGCGGATCAGAGAGAGAAAGGTGGGCCTCACCACACAGAGTCGCCCCACTCTGGTGTAAATTGCATGGGCACTGTTTTCTGCCTCCAAGGCCTTCTCGGTAAAGAAGAAATATACTTTGTTGTCATCTCGGTCTTCATTGTCAGGAATCATATATGAACCTACAAATTTTGGTTCTATAGGTATAAAGAAGTAGAAGAAAAGTAAAAATAGGTATTACAACAAAATAATATGTTATTCTAATAAGTTACAGATCACATAAATACTTCAGTGTAACTTCCAACATTTCATGAAGAAATAAAGTTATTTCCGTGAAATGTTGTATGCACATTAAAATCATGTAGGTATCTCCCTTCGCTCTGCAAACGAAAAGCTTTGTTTGGAACTATTGAAGGCAATTTTAATTGGAAAATAAGAGTCATGAAAGGAAAAACCAATGTGAAACAACACACCTTAAAATGCATTCAAAGAACATATTAGGGGCATGAGAGAGATCATCTCCATAAATTTCCTCCCCAATATATAAAAAGTCAACATAAATATAAAATAGAGAAGTTTATCATTTTTTTAAGTTTATAGATTATCTGCCAGGGCATCTCATGCAAGACCATTTGATGGTGGAAAATGTATGTTAAATCTTTGTGTTTACAGTCTAAGGGATCTAAGTGAAGCACTTTTGACTGATATGCTATGTCAAATATTTTAATGATAACATGTGAAAAATAACAAAAACACTCACAATTAAATGATGCTTTAATCTCTGGATAGTCTAGGGTGCTCAAATATACACATTATTCCTTACAAATAATTCTATCAATGAATGGCTAGTGATTTTCCCAGGATTTTACTTGTCTCTAAATACAACGCGATTCTATTAAAAGAAGCAAAGCAAAGCAATCAATTCATCCAAAATTATACCAACTGACAAGAGAAAACAAAGCTACTTACTGGATGAAAGGATTTTTTGCTTTTCATATATTTAGTCTGTTTTCTTCATTTACATTCTGATTTCCAAGTATTGTAATGGGGGTAACTTGGTTTTATAATAAAGCCAATCCATTTTGATATAAAATGATATATGCATATTGCAGATATTTTAAGAACATTACTAATAAAATCCTGAAATTTATTTTAAAAAAATGGCATTTGTATTGTTACTATTATCAAAAAGTGTCAAGTTTCCCCTGAGTTCTAGACTTGGTTTCAATTCTGATTTACATACTTTTTTCTCCCAACCCCACCTTTCTTTTTTTTTTTTTTTTTTTTGCAGATGCTAGTATTAATATCATTTTATTTATTTATTTTTGCATGTATATATATATATATTTTTTTACAAATAGTTTATTGGTGGGAATGTAAACTGGTACAGCCCAACCCCACCTTTCAACAGGCGCTCGTCATCATGCTCGGTGCGAATATGAGCCAGGCGCCCCATGCTCCGGAAGATTGCAGCGTCTCTCCCCCAGTAGTCACTATAGAGGCCAGCAAACAATTCACTACCTACAGGGAAACACCAGTTAAAAAGATCTCAGTATTGTTTCTGGATCTGACCACCATGTATAAGCCACAATTATATCCTGGACACATATCCAGGTTTACTGCATACCCGACCTTATGAAATTAATACATTATTAGAGCACAGATGGTACAGTCGGATTGCTGGGCTCTGAATTCTGACTCTGCCACTTCCTAGCTGTGTGAACTAGGGCTAGTTGCTTAACCGATCTGTGCCTCAGTTTCCTCATTTCCAAATAGGAACAGCACTCAAAAGTATCATAAAGAGTAAAGCACTTCAAAAAGTAGCTGACATATACCAAGACCCAAATAAGTATTTGATAAGAAATCTGATTCATCTTATTTTATAAACTGCTTTTAGCCTTCATATCAGAGTATTATTATTATTATCATTATTTACTTGGTATTATAAGCAAGTCAGTTCACCCAAACCATTCTGGGAACAAGAAATTGCTTCCATTAACATGATTTTAGTGTAGGAACCACAAAGTCTGACAAAGTCACATATAATCCACGTAGTTATCATTTAGCTTGTAAGTCAGTGGTTTAGAAAGGAATGATAGAAAGACCTTATGATTTAATCAGTCAGAATGAATAAAGTTGGCTATACCATGTGGTGGAGGTCCCAGGCTTAAATCAGACCAAGGAACCACAAATGCATGCAGGGTTTCAAGAAATGACAATGTGTCCTTGGAGACAGCCAGAAAGACATTTAAATAGTGTAAGAGAAGAGGAAAAAATAAATAAATAAATAGAAAGATAACATAAAGGGAACTGAGGAAGACTAGCACCTATCAAGCATTGGGGCTTGGAGTTCTCTTTTGTCAAAGGGACAGCAAAAGATAATAAGCATGTCCCTGAGTGGTGCCAGAAGGACTGTCCCGAGCACACGCAGCTCGGATGTCCTGTCCCTGGCAAAAATCTCTAAAAGAAGCAAACGATGATAACAGAGGGAAGCAGTAACCACAGTTTAGGGTGGTAAAATTCTCATATTGAATATCATATAACTCTGGTCAGGTTTAAAAATATAGCACTGATGACTCTACCAAATTCAATGTCTTAATGTTTTTCTGTTAAATATGGGATGTGTACAGATATGTGTACACATGGTATTTAAAGTGCTTTAAGTGTAAGAGAATTCAAATTAATTGATTTTTAATTTAATAAATGTAATTGAATATTTAGTTTTGAATCACAATTATTAAAGTTAGAGGTATAAAATTTTGACCAAATATATAAACAGAATTTAAGAGAACTTGATTTCCTGTTGATAAATTTTATTAATTAGATTTCGATAAAATTATTTCAATGTTTATAAAGGGCTTTTTCTACAGAAAGGCCGTTAAAACTTTGAAAAACCTGGAATAGACTAAATATGTTTTAATGGTTGAAAATGCGAAAGAGTAATCAAATGAATTGTAAGTAGGACACTTTATAAAGAAGTTTATTTTCAACTTGAAATAACTGACTTAATTTTTAAAAAGTTAAAATAATTGCTTTTATTATAGCAGATTTTAAAAGTAGAATAATGAGATGTGATTTGAATTTGAAGGCTTAAGAAAAATAAGTTTTCGGTTATGATAATAAATTAATTTTCATTTATACAAAGGCAAGGAAATAGTTGGTGATTTTTTTGTTGTTGTTTTTGGCTCAAAAAATGCACTATGGATACTCTAAAATATATATAGGAGATACATAAATAAAATCTAGGTTTCCCACGAAGGAATTCACTTTTCAACTATACATATATGTAAAAGAAAAAGGAGAGACAGAGGCAAATGTGGTAGAGTATTAATAATGGGTGAATCAAGGTAAATGGTATAAAGGTAAAATTTTACTCCTCTTTCAATTCTTCTTTGTATTTGAAAATTTTCAAGATAAGTTAAAAAAAGACCTGTATTTACTGAGTTCATCCCATATACTCAAATGTATACTAAGTGAGAGACGTGACAGAGAAAATAACAGAAACTGAAAAATCAAAGATGCTTTATATCTGGACTTAAAATATAATCTGACAGAGAAAAGTGATATCAGAACTCTTATTTAAGCATGTTCCTTGGTAAGAGAAAGGGAGAAAAGTGCCACAGTTTACTTCAAAGTCAGTTAGTGGCCTATTCACCAGAAAGTTACATCCGTATGTAAAGAAGGCATATTTTGAGATAAAATGTATCGGTGTTAGGAACAGAAACGGCATGTGGGATGCATGCTGCACTACTTGAACAGGGATAAAAAAGAGAGTCATGTTAAATTCATTAAAAGCCCTTGGGGAACATGATGGCATAAATGAATGAGTTGATCCATAAAAGTATTGAATGACTAGTGAACCACCAGAGTGAGGCTTTTTCTGAAATATTTTTGTTGTTAATTATTAAACTTCATTATATTTCCAATATAAAACAGCAAGTCCATTTTATATAATTATTCTAAGCAAAACTCATTTTTCTAATATGGACTTGGCTGAATGCTTAAAGCATAAGGGGTACAAAAATAGAATTCTTAAAAATCATGACAGTTTTCTATTCCTTAAGCTTTTAATATTTGGTTAGTTTCTTAAAATATTTTTAGAACTGTGATATTTGAAAACACTACTATCTTAGGAAAATGATATTCTTATTAGTTAACATCAATTTCATTCCACTCACCCAGTATGAAACACTGTGTCAAAGTTCTACTTGTTTTAATCAATTTTACAAACTTAACAAACAAGTACCCCTTGGAGCCACTAGATGGCAACCTTAGGACAGCAAATAATACTATATCCAAGACAGGTAATCTGCACAAAAGAAAAATGATAGATTACCAATTTTACCCAATTTCCCTTTTTGTATTCAGATAAAAGAAAATAGTTTGTGAACAATTCAAATAACACAATATGAACTGTATGACTTGAACTTCAAAGAAACCAGACAGGTGCTAAAAACTCTATGCTGTGTAAAACTGAACCAAATGTGTATTCTGTTGGAAATGTAAGATTTTCCTCAGAAGGGAAAGATTCTCTTTTCATAGCTCATTATCAGTGTAAAGAACAAAATAAATTCATAGCAAAAGATAATAATTATGCTTCATAAAACAATACTTTCTGAAGGAAAGAAACTTTAATGAAAGATCATAAAGTAAGGCTTTGGGCACACATATTACCTAATAGGAATTAAATGAGCCAAAATATTCAGCATCATTATAATAACTGAGTCTGTTTACAACAAATACATAAATTACATATCACAATATTTTAATTGACAACTTTACTTTAAAATTCTAACCATTTGATATAATTAGGATAAATATGTGAATCAATAGTTTGGTATTTTACAAAGTCCAAAAAAATCTGGATAAATCATATTTTCATGGATTAAAATGAAACATGTTATAGAGACATGATATTTAATAAACACATTAACTTAGCCAGAAGTTTAACTAGTATCTGATCTCTTTTGATAAATACTGAATATAAATAACTAACTTGATTTTTATGCCATATATTACTTTTCATTTGTTATAGCACTGACTTGTATTGGAAACTGATGTTATGTTAATTTTAGATGGTCATGTGTGGTTATAATTAAACAATAGAACATCTGCAGGGTATTCTGACAGGTGAATGAAACTTATTATTGTCATGCTCAATGTAGTCTCTGTGTACAGATACAAGAATAGTTCTGTCTGCACTGGAAATCTGTCAGACTAAGTCTCCAACTCCAACTCTGCTGTTTGTGGCAAAACTGTCCAACATCTCATGGTCTTGGCTACTTGTAAAATCAGAGACTGACATGTAATTTCTTGAGCTTACCAACTTGTTATGTTCTCTCTGCCTGGAAATGTTTTGCCTGGTCCTCTGCCTCCCCTTTCCCGCTTTACCTCCCATGTAGCCGCCAACTGCTCACGTCCTCCATGAAGCTTTCCTTGACTAAACGTTTGTTAGAGTGGTTCCTACTACCACCAGAGCCCCATGCCTATTTTGACCAAATTGCTCACCCTAATATATTTTAACTGACTGCTTATATGTTTGACGTTACGCCTCACTACAATGTAGGCTTCCTGATGTGTCTTATATATTCTCTTTCATAGTGTCTGGAATACAGAAAATGCTCAGTAAGATTGTTGAATCCGTGCAGAGCATAATGAATTAATAAGTGAGAATATTTAAAAAATATTTTAGGTGTTTACATGAAGCGATGCTCAGCATCCCTCCTCATCAGGGAAATACAAATCAAAACCACACTGAGATACCACCTCACGCCCGTCAGAGTGGCTAAAATGAGCAAATCAGAGAACTCTAGATGCTGGCGAGGATGTGGAGAAATGGGCACCCTCCTACACTGTTGGTGGGAATGTAAACTGGTGCAGCCCCTCTGGAAAACAGTGTGGAGGTTCCTCAAAGAATTAACAATAGAACTCCCTTATGACCCAGCAATAGCACTGCTAGGAATTTACCCAAGGAATACAGAAATGCTGAGGCATAGGAGCACATGGACCCCAATGTTCATAGCAGCACTCTCCACAATAGCTAAAACATGGAAAGAGCCTAAGTGTCCATCAACAGATGAATGGATCAAGAAGATGTGGTTTATCTATACCATGGAATACTACATGGCAATGAGAAACAATGAAATCTGGCCATGTGTAGCAACCTGGATGGACCTTGAGGGTGTTATGCTGAGTGAAATAAGTCAGGCAGAGAAGGACAAATACCATATGTTTGCACGTATAGGAGGATTAGGAGGAACTTAACTGAGGAACAAGGGGGAGAAGAAGGGGGGAAATGGTGGGGGAAAGGGAGAGAGGCAAACCATGAGAGATTCTTGAATGCTGACAAAAACTGAGGACTGATGGATGTGGGGGGGGATGGGCATGGAGGGGGGCACTTGTGGGGATGAGCACTGGGTGTTATATGGAAACCAACTTGACAATAAACTATTTGTAAAAAAAAAATATTTTAGGTGTTTAAATTCAAAAGCTATGAAATACAGTAAGAACACTGAGGACAA